CACGGTGCGCGGTCCTTGGCGCGGGCCCGAGCGAGTCGTCGGAGCAGTGCCAAAGCTTGGCTGTCGAAGCGCCCGCCTACCTCGAGTCCGAAGACGACTAAGCGACAACGTCAGCGCCCGCCTGGCTGGAGCTCGGGGTACGTGCGGAGCTTGCACGTTTTGGCTTGTTGAAGTGCCAGCGCTGGCCTCGCATCGGCCCCGGGTCGCGCGCACCCGTCGCGCTGGACGGGGCTGACCAATGTCGTGTCAACCGCGATTTGGGCCCCGCGCCACAGCGGCAGGCCGTTTGCGACGACCTCAATCCGCCGACCGTCTGTGGCAGGGACATCCACGTTCAGGTCTCGCAAGGCGACGCTTGTGGCGACCCGGGCACGGCTTCCCGGCAGATGCGCGCCTCCGCGCGCTCCAGCGGCCCAGCTCTGTGCGCCAGGACCCCGACTTGGGCGCAGGCAGACCGGTGGTCTCCCAAGCTGTCGAGGTGGCGACCACACTGGCATCGCTTGGGCGCCAGCGGGAGCGCCAAGCGCAGCCTCCGCAGCAGCAGGACTCGGAACTCCGCGCTGGGTACAACGAAGTCCGGTCCGGTAAGGAGGACTGTGAGTGTAGAGCTGGCGCCCGCGCCGCTTTGGGACAGCAGCAGTGCTCGCGATGCAGAGTCTAACTCAGCGAAAAGCATCGCAAACACGCGCTTGTCCACAGCGGTTCCAGCGCTGCGCTGCCACCCCCGCCTCACTTTCAGGGACGGGTCGTCACCCCCTTCCAAGGGGACGGCTTCTGCCCCGTCCACGAGGGCTGCCCACGTTGAAGTTTGGAAGCCCTGAAGGCGGAGGGACTGAGCCGCGTGCTCGGCCTCTCTCGCGCTGAGCGGCGTGTTAGGGGCGGAAAGATCCGTGAAGGGTCGCACGAGGCTGGCGAGGGTGCCCGGGTGGCATTCCCGCAAAGCGCCGATCATGTCAGCCCAAGATGCCCAGTACGCCGCATGACGATGGTCCCTCGCAGAGGATAGGCTGGAATACATAAACCAATATATATATATATATATATACATACATACATACATATATACATATATACATATATACATATATACATATATACATATATACATATATACATATATACATATATACATATATACATATATACATATATACATATATACATATATATATATATATATGTATATTTATATATATATATATACATACATACATACATATATGAAAAGCCGCAATCGTCCAATCGGGGGCGTGTTTCATATATATGCTGAACCCCACTGGTCTGGCGTGTTGAACGTATATGATAGCCGGAATCGCCAAATGAGGGGCGTGTTTGAACAAATAAGTTTAAACAAACAAATAAATGAACATTTGTATATACTCGTATATACTTATTTTGTATATCAAAGTGTAGATATTTATGTGTATATTATTTTTGTATTTCTATTTGTGAAATCTTGCAGAATGTAATGTAATACAGTTCGAATTTGGACGGACGTAGCTGTTGATTGGCTGACTCATTTCACAATATGACATGATTTGGATGACATAGCATGTGCACGATATTATGGAAGCGTGCTGTCTTCTACAGCCATGAACTAGCTGATTTCCCTACATCGGCTTAATCCTTCCCCCTTGCAAGAAATCACACCGGATAACCTAGTATTGGGCCCGGCGTGCAGAACATTAGGCGGGATTTGGGTTCGGCCTGTTCTGAACCCTGAAATTCTGCATTTCGGTGGCCTGCGCCCTGCAATTCACCGCAGCACTACATTCTCGCAACCAGGGCTGCCCGTAATCCTTTAGCCCCTAGCATTACCTGCTCCCACATTATTACGAGTATTGGCATCAGATATTACCATCGTTGCGAACGTTCAGAGCATTTCTCTTAGCGTGAGTGGTGGTATGAGTATTAGTAGTCCGTAGTAGAAATCCGTGCTGGCCACCGATATATACTGATATCACCAGTCCCTCGTCCTGGTTCGTAGTATCCTCTGTATCGGTGATAGTATTCGCAGAAAGCGCTGGCGTCCTACATGGGTTACTTCAAGCAGGGGCCAAACAAATCGTTCAGTTTATTGTCATAACTTCTTTCATGAACAAAACTAAAAAGCACGGATGTACCACTAACAAATATTGCCAGTAAGTAGATTAGGTGACTGGTTAAAGCAACGTTTTTGTGATATACACAATACTGTGACGTACAAAGTGGAAGCACTTGGAATTTTGGCTGATTATCTACATTACAACGAACTGGCCATGTTTCAATCACGGGCCAAGTGCACGTTCACAAACCCATATGTTTTCATTTTCTTGACTGTGGCATAGGGCTGTCAGAATACAAAAAGGTGAAAACAACGACTAGGCTTGGCAGCAAGTCTACCAAGTATGTGCTTAAACCTGTTGATCGGTTGATTTGGCTAGCTGTTTACATGACGCTCATCTCGTCATGAACACTGTGTGACAGTCTCGGATCGTTCACGACGATGACTTTATCCTGAAATAAGCAGAAACTTGAACCGACATGCATTTAGATGCACCCGCATGCAATTTCGAGGCTTGATTTTGGCAATGATAGTGGGTTCCTATACATGAGTTGGATTGATGAATGGCCGAATGACAACTAGTCTGGTACGCGACGAATGAAAATGAAGGTTAACTTTTTAATGATGCCATTATCTGGATTTTTGTTGAAAGGAAGAAAACAGGGTCTTTACCTAGACCAGAACAACAAATTTTCCTGCCTTGGCACTACCAGATTGCTGTATGCGCAGATGTATCAGCCTCTGTGCTTGAGAAAGAAACGAAATCACGGATGTCATGATGTTTCACAGGTTGGCATAGATTCGCTGGTTTGCAGATTTGCAGATTGGCGATTCGCAGAATGTACAGACGCTATGACCCGAGCTTGGCATCTGTCTGACCTGCGAATGTGCGAATCTGCGAATGTGCGAACCTTTGGAATCTGCGAATCGGCGAATCTGCGAACCTGGGAACCTGGGAATCTGCGAATTTGCGCTTCTGCAAATCTGAGGCGTGGGGTTTCGGGGGTGGGGGGGTACCATATATATATATATATATATATGTCTCATATATATGTCTAACATATATATATATATATATATATATATTTATATACATATACATATATATGATAAACCGGAATCGGCCAGTGGGGGGGTGTTTAAAATATATGATGAACCGGTGTATGTGTGTTTAACATATATGATAACCCACTGGTCTGGCTTGTTTAAGGCATATGATAACCGGAATCGCCGAATGAGTGGCATATGATAGACCGGAATCGCCCAATCGGGGGTGTGTGTTTGAGATATGATGAGCCCGACTGGTCTGCCGTGTTTAAGGTTTATGATAGCCGGAATCGCCAAATGAGGGGCGTGCTTAGATAAATATGTGTATATATATATATATATGTAAATATATATATATATATATATATATGATAAACCGGAATCGGCCAATATGGGGGGCGGTGTGTTGAAGATATATGATGGTCTGGCTTTAAAGTATATGATAACCGGAATCGCCAAATGAGGGGCGTGTGTAAATATGTATGACAGAAAGGAATCGTCCAATCGGGGGCGTGTTTAAGATATATGGTGAACACCAAATGAGGGGCGTGTTTATATATATATATATATATGTATCTATATCTATACTTTTAGAATATACCGGAATCGCTCAAACGGGGGCGCGTTTAAGGTATATGATAGCAGGAATCGCCATTTGACGGTCGTGTTTAAATACAGCAATATATATATATATATATATATGTATGCATATGATAAACCGGTATCGTCCAATAGGGGGCGTGTTTAAGATATGTGATGAACCCTATTGGTCTGACGTGTTGAAGGTTTCTGATAGCAAGAATCGCCAAATGAGGGGGCTTGTTTAAGATATATGATGCACCGGAATCGCCAAAGGAGGGGGATTTAATTAACATATATTATAAACCGAATCGTATCTTATTTATATCGTTTTTCTGTAAGTTTTTGATGTGGTTCTCTATTGTTCAGTACTGATTTTTTGTTGGATTGCTAAGCTAATCTCCAAACCGACAGAAAAAGGGCGCAGACAACCCAAAAGAACAAACGGAAATATCCTAGTGATCAACCCGAAACATGGGAGGTCCCATCAAAGCTATAGGATAATCCCATGAGGAATGCTGTGTTTAAGAATGACGCGGGGAACGCGTTTAAGATGTATGATGCACCGGAATCGCCAAAGGAGGAGGAGTGATTGATATACTATGAACCGAAATCGCAAATGCATACGGGTCTTCGTTGTTTACAGGTTACTATTGTTTTTTCAATACATTGTATGTGTTTTTCTACTGAGTACTGCTGATTTCTATTGGATTTTTGAGTTACAATCCAGACCAAAGGAAAACGACGCAGATAACAGAAACACGCACATAACCCAGTGATCTGCTAAAACAACGCAGTATGTGCCAGATGACACCAAAAAACGCAGATAACCCAAAGAATAAAGACGCAAATAGCCGTGTGATTTGCTAGAAAACGCAATAGGTGCCAGAAGAGCACCAATTCAAAAGACGCAGATAACCCAAATTCAGACGCAGATTACTATTTTCTCCGGTTATTCCCGCTCGCAGAAATTTACTTAAACCAACTACTCCATGCAAACACGAAGATGTTGTGTGGAAGTTGTCCGGCTTGCATAGTTTGAGCTTCTTCGTTGCAACGGAATCCGCGTCTAAAGAACGTAAACGTAGCTAAACAGTTAATTACTTCAAGATGTATGAGGCTGAATAGGACAGGGCTCTGCGCATGCGAACGCCTGTGGGGGCCGTTGCCTCAAGCGAATTTTCCCGGCGCTCTCACAATGAGTTGGTGCCGTTGGTTTCGCTTTACATGTTTGCAGCAGATCAAAGTATTCCTTTAGCCCACTGAGCTTGTCCCGTTGAACAACACTTTACACATCAGTAGAAGTCTTGTTCCCAGATGCATATGGCCGATGAACAAGCTTTGCATGCTCACATCGCTGGCGATTGCATCTGCGACGTGGGAACAGTTGGTTGCAACCAATATCCCAGTTGCCCGGCGGGGGCATGCAGCGGTTTGGGATGCAGTGGGAAGCCAAATGCTAGTATATGGTGGAGAAAGCGGTCGACGCAGGACGACTCGCCGCAACGAGCTTTATTCACTGGATCCAGTGCAGGGGACCTGGACCGAGCTATCCGCCAGCGGAAATGTGGTCGAGGAGCACACCGCAGCGTGGGATGCTGCAAGCCGAACCATGTACATTCACGGCGGGTCATCCAGTTTTGTCTATGACGATTTGGATGGGTATGCCGTGGGCAGTGGCTGGACAGCATACCAGGGCGGCTATGCACGGAGGTTCGCAACGGCCGTGTGGAATTCGGAGGATGGAGAACTTTTAGTGTATGGAGGATGGACATCTTCGTCAAGAACGGACACATTGCTCGTCTACAGCTCTGGCACGAATTCATGGACGTCAACGAGCGGTGCTGCCGCAGGCCTCCGATCCAGCCATATGGCTGTGTGGGAGGCGAGCACCAAAGTGATGCTGGTTTTCGGCGGGTACGATGGCTCAAGCGTGCTGTCGGACTTGTGGGGATATGCCCGTGATGGAGATTCGTGGAGTGAGCTTTTCCCAAGCGGCAGCTTGCCTGTTCGGCGGCACTCTGCGACAGCTGTGTGGGATCAGCCGTCAAGGTTGATGTTTGTTTTTGGCGGCATGTCTGGCACTAGCTCAGGATACCTTGATGATCCTTGCCATACTCAGTTAATTTATCTGGTCTGGTCTTCATGCAAGTGTTTCGAGTTTGGTTTCGTTGGGATGTTACATCAGGAGCTGCTTTGGCCAAGGGGGCATCAACAACCTCGAAGGTGAATGAGAACGAACAAAACTCCTTGGCACTTCCTAAACCATTTTGCTCAAAAGAGATTCTAGCCCAGCAGACTAAACCTTCAACCCGGAACCCTAGACCCTACTTGGAGGATCATGGGGACTTTGTAAGTAAGGTTATAAATACCCAATTGGGGGTTTTAAGTATAGTTACTTTAATCATAACTCTACTTACTAAGTCCCATGATCCTTTAAGTAGACCCTAAACCCTAAACCTTCAACCTTAGACCTTAAACCCGAAACCCAGGATCTCTACTCCTACGACGCGGGCTCCGATGCCTGGACTTTGCTGGACGCTGCCGGACCGACTCGGGCCTGGCACGCGGCGGTCTGGGCTGAGAGCTTTTCGTCAAAAGAAATTCGCAGAATTCAGGTTTCAGGTTCCAGGGCATATTACTTAGAATAAATATTGAGATTCGGGCTTGTGTTACTAGTAGTATTATTTGCAGTATTATTCTTGCTATTGATACGGATGCCACAGGGGTATTTTACGGGAGCTATGAGCGTACTTCAAGGTTACTGTAACGGCCCAAGAAGGTCACGATGGGGAGGAGGGTTTCTTCCGAGGTATATACTCTACACCTTTTTGATTTTGTCGCTTCTGAAAGTGCTTGCGATTCTTTGGGGATGGGTTGCCTGTTTTGTCAGCACTGGCTTTCACAACGCCCGGTTGACGAAGTAGCTTCGTGCCGCAGCCAGGTCAGATGATCGTTTATGGTGGCCATGATGGGTCGAGCTTCCTGGGCGACGTTTGGATTTATCGTCACAGTACCGTCACCACAACATCCGAATCCACAACCAGCACAATCACGACAAGCAGCTCCACGACAAGCAGCTTCACCACAACGACCGGTACCTCTACAACCACGGTTACTTCTACTTCATCGAGTGGCAGCACAACCTTGACCGCGACAGTGACTACCACAACAGCCAGCTCTACCATGACGTCGTCAACCCTGACCACAACTACCACACGATCCCAAACCACCACAACCACCACCCTAACATTAACGTCTTCAGCCAGAACCACGTCCCTAACAACGACGAGTTCAAGTGCGACCACCTTGTCGACCACTTCGTCCATTTCCAGCACTTCGACCCTCACCTCAACCACCGCAAGCAGCACAAGAACTGCCACCACTCTATCCACCACGGGCACCCAGTCAACTTCCACCCCGTCGACCCAGACGACCACGACATCACACTCTGTCACCACCACACGAACTCCCCAGCCGAACACCACCACGACTTCTTCCACACTCGTGCGGAATGTGGTCGTCCCTCCACGCGTGGCTTTGAGCCCTCATGGGCAGATTGTGGTCCAATCGCTTCAGAGCACCCTTTCGTTTGTTTCCCAGGGTGAAGACGTGTACAGGACCTCTACACTTTTCGGCAACGTTTCGGCATGGAAGCTTCCAAAGGAATCTCGTTACGCGTCTCAGACGGTGCTCGAAGCGGGCGATGTCAAAGTCGTCTTGCCAGGGGCCTTGCTGCGCAGCTTCGGCGGAAACACCATCATGGTTGTCACGGAAGTCGCACCAGAGGAAACACACAAGTTTGCGCAAGTAACCACAGCTGGGGAGACGGTCTTGCTAAACTCTCCCGTGACGGAGCTGTCATTCGCCAATGAACGAAATGGAGGCTTGACCCTGCTGGCCGTCAATGGGACGGAGAGTATCGTGTTCATGCTTGCGAATCGCCCGGCATTGCCCGGTGAGAGGTGCGGGGTTTAAGAAAGAATGAACAAACTTAGTATATCTAATTCATTTTAAGATGAGGTCCCTTCACTGCACACCTGCCGCACCCACCGAAAGGTGTGCGTTTTATGACTTGGACCTGAACGCATGGTCCGACGCTGGCACAGAGCTCCTCCCCAGCTTTGAGGTCGGCCAGCGGGTCGAAAGAGCAGATCGCAGAAGCGTGTCTCGATTGGGTAGGACCGGGCAGGATCCCTGAGCAACCGACCATGAGAGGCAGAACAAGAACGGCCGTAGGTGAAAGAGGAGCGGGAGCGGGAGCAGTAGAGGCACGAGTAGTGTCATATGCGAAGAGTGCGAGACGATAGGAAGACGAAGAAGACATGCGCAACAACGATGCTCAGGCTCAAACAAAACCAAAAGTTCTGTCAAGATGATCCTTACTCGGCGACAATCGGTTGTCCGAACCGTCAAGATTTCATTGTAACACCAAGTCTCGACGGCATTTGGGGTCACGACTTCGGGCAGGTGGACGGAGAGATCGTCAATGCATCCTGGTGCCAGACTACGCACACATCACTGCGTCTTGGTGCTCTAAATCTCCACGTGCAGTTTTATCTTTGGTGCCCCCAGCTTTCACAACAGGTGTGTCTTGCCAACCCCAACCAAACAGCGCCCAGGGGCCCAGGCAGTAGGCTCAAGCCATTCCCAAACACTTGGGAGTTTCCGAAAAATAGGAGACCCTAACATAGTCTCCTAAATAGCAGGATCCTTATCACAAGGACCCCTAAAGTAAGGTACCCCTAATTTTCGGGAACTCCCACTTTGCTGGGACCACAAAGAGCAGACCCCAGGTTTGGGCTGGTGCAGGGTATACCCTGGCGGACGGCAATGGAGATGCTTGGAATTCAATCAGGGACATTTTTGAGGTGTTAAGGTTATGTTTTGAAAGGTTCTTCTTGGCTTTCCTTGGAATTCAACAATGTGCCCCCAACCTAGACCCTCGTGACCCTAGTAAACAGTTTCAATATCCGAAGTGCTTAAATCAAGGGTGTTCGTGGAATCAGGGACAAGCAAGAATCACTACAAGAGCGATGTAGTTTTTTTTGTCGCACCTTGCGTGATCGTGTACAGTCATGATGTTGTGTATGAATACCGTTGACCCTCGTGCCCAAGCCCTCTAAGTAGAAAAGTACCGCATGTGCTGTGCTCATGGCTTGGTGGTACTCGTGTATTCATATTCTATATCCTTGGGGTTTAGGGCTTGACTGAGTCCGTGAGAGAGAGAGAGAGAGAGAGAGAGAGAGAGAGAGAGAGAGAGAGAGAGAGAGAGAGAGAGAGAGAGAGAGAGAGAGAGAGAGAGAGAGAGAGAGAGAGAGAGAGAGCGAGAGAGCGAGAGAGAGAGGATTTGAGGCGTGGAGGTTTTAGGCTGTTTAATGCTTGGGGCCTAGGGTCTGTTTGGGGCTGATGGGCTCTAGGATGGCGGAGCTGCGAGTGGATGCGCAGAGCTATATGGCAGGGATCGTCCTGGTCCCTCAACACGCACTGGAAGTTCCCTTCGGGCGAAGCAGGGCTGTGAAGACACAGTGGCTCGTGTTTGGACTGTTGGTCTCGGTCTTTGAGCTCGCAGAGTTTCGAGGGGTCACGTGCTTCAGCAGCCGTAGACCGGCTCAGAAGCCGTAGATTTGGGAATACATGGTTTGGCGCAAACTCGATGGCCGTGGTGCTTATGTCTGCATGACTTACGAAAGACAGGCAGCCGTTAGGTCGTTGAATGCAAAGACTGCCGCTGAGGTCATCGCTTTCCTTTGCTTGTGCTGCTCATTGCTGTGCCCCTTCCTTAGCCGTCGCATTCGCGCGCCGACCTCGGGCCACGTGACCCTGAAGACTCTCGGTAGGATCAGTTGGGGTGTGCTTCGAGTCTGTGCAAAAAATCGATGTGGCAGCAAAACAGAGAAACCCGAATCCCTGTCCTAAACTGCTCGTCCGCAGTCTCAGTCCATAACCCCACACTTTGCTGGAAGTTTCCCTTCTTGGTGTGGGGTTGACGATGACTTAGTCATAGGACTGCATGTAACACCCGGGCGACCGACAGTCCTAGACATGGGTTGGGTTGGAAAATCGGAGTTCAGTGCTCTCACTTTCATCGTCCTTTTCATCAAGAGAGATCTTCGCAGCAAGGATAGCAATTGCAAACCTGATGTGTCGCTCATTGCGAGGAACCGTCATGGAAAGGAACGCCGTGTGTTCTTCGAGCGCGAGGAAGCCGACCTGGAGGCGAATCGGATGGCGCAGAAGGTCCTGGTGAAGTGGCAGATGGAGGCCGTGCTACCTCCTTGATTGCTTGATGGGGGCTTTCATTGATTTCCTGATTTGCTGCCTAGGAAGGTTCGAATTTGGGAGTGTCATATAGTCTCCTGGCACCCATGGATGGACGGACACCGTGACTGACAGCTTTGCAGGATCGGAGCACCATGGAAGATTTGAGCAACTTACGCGCATCTTCTCGACATGTGGTGGTGGACCTGAACCTACTTTCTCCTCTTCGCAACTCGGCTGTCCATGTGGACGAGAGCAAGCTCTGGAGTTCAGGAAGTTGTCTAGAAATTCTGAGAGCTGAAAGCCAGACAGTTGACCGGCTTTCACCACGTCCCTGGAGCCTTAGCGCAACCATGAACCCCAAAGGCAAAGTGAGCTCCTTGGACTCGCGGGTTCGGTCGGTGCAGTCCGATGCCGTCAGCCCAACACACACAGGCCAGTCGGGTGGATCAAGCATTCAGGGTTGAGGGTGTGGAGAGGATCAGGGCAGAGGACTCACTGCAAAGAGGCTTTCACGGTCTAATCTTCGCTTCAGAACTTCAGTGCACGGACGTCGTCGCAGGTGGCTTGATTACGAGGAGAAAGGGCAGCGGCAGGAGTTTGCTCCACTCCTACCTAACCTAAGCTAGTCGGCGTGGGCTGTATGAGAGAGAGAGAGAGAGAGAGAGAGAGAGTGTGTGTCACATCGATATCTGGGGCTTCGAAATGCATTTTGGCGCCGTTCCCATGGGTCAGGTACAAGAAGGAATGCCTAGGGCCTATACATGTATTATACATTCACCCCCCATGGAGCATTCGACCGGCACACCCTCCGACAGATGCGCAAAGTTTTAACTCTATACGCAAAGGTTCCCAAAGCCCCTCTTTGCTTCCATCTGCAGGTGCCCATGCGGAACAAAGACAGGTTGACAAGAACGACATCCAAGACGCAGACGAAAAACAGTCCTTGCGCTGTGATGCAATTCACAACTCAGCGGATTCAGCTGAAGTAGTTTGCGCTGGCGTGGACGATGGATATCCAGCGGAGGTCGATGATTTGGTCTCTGCTGGTTTGGACGACTTGTACCCGATGGAGACCGATTCCATCGTGTCTGCAGGCTTGGATGACGACTTGTCTGTCGTTCTATCCCTCGCACCCATCGAGGCCTATCAAGACGGCGAAGGGGTTCTGTATTTCTCCTCGACCCATTCCTGCCTGGTGCCCGCGAGAATCTTGGGTTCTGGCTTCTTCTTGACAGACGATCCAGGCGCGTCCGTTGCACGCCTGGTAATACCTGGAGCTTTATTATGCTGCGTGCCGGTACTGGGATAAGAAGCACAGCTGTTGAAGCCTTTCGAACTCGGTTTTGCATTAGTCCCAGGTGAGCTGCCCTTATACAGATGCCGCGTGGGCACCGGCCAGATGCGAGAGCATGTTCCGCTGCGTGCCCTCCGCACCACTCTCGAAGCTGGCGGGGGGGTTGGGGATTGAAACATTAGCGACTGGGGTTTGGCACTGTGGAATTGAACGGCAACGCGCTGCAGGCGTTAAGCTTCGCTTTGAGCTTCCGACCTATCAACATGCCTCGCAAAAATTCCATCACGTGTTGTTTTTTCCCACGGAATGTGGGAGATCGGAGTTGGCAGGCTTCCGAGCTCTGTCTCTCTCCTGGTCGAACTGGAGTTGTAGGCTTTGCCTGCGCGCCTGAAGGTGACAATGTCGAAATGTATTCTGCCAAGCACAAAGCCTGGAAGCCAGCGATGGTCTTGAAGTCGCCGCCACTCCAACGTGCTCCCCATCGGGCCATGTTCCAGGTGCCTGAAATCGTCGAAAACTGTGATAGTAGAGATAATTGGGTTCTTGAGGTTGCATGTCGTGCTTCTTGGAAGGGTCTCGTTTGTTGCGGAGGGTAGAAATGCTTCCAAGCTTCCTAGCTTGTTCACAAGCCATGTCCACATCCGGCAGATAGTTTCTTTTTGGCCGAAGCGGAACATCGCCATTGTAGTCTAGGAAGCAGCAGAGCAGGAGCCGCGATGAACACAGAAAATCGGAGTTGCCATGGATAGTATGTTTAAGTTGAATTTTTTGGTGTTATATTCGAGTATAGAAAATCATGTAACTGTAGGTTGTATTTTAGTATAGTATAGTATAGCTATATTGTAGTATATTACGTTACAGCATATTAAAGTATACTATAGTAAAAAAAAAAAGCACTGGCAGTTTCCTGAGGTCCCTTTTCGCCGCTACGATGATGTTGCCACTTAATCCCTTAACCCTGGTTTACCCTAAACCCGAAGAGCTGGGATTTTGGGGTTGAGGGTTCCTTTAAAGGGGTCTATAAGGGGTACTATAAGGGATCTATAAGGGTACTATAACAATGTAGGAACCTCATTAAGAAACCCTGGGCCCATAACCCCAAAATAGCAGGATTCAGGAATCCTCATCAAGGCCCAAGGTTTCCTAATCAGGTTCCTACATTCAACCCTACTAAACCATACAGACACAGACATCCTGACATCACAAGACCCAGACTTTAGATGTTGGGGATACTCGTGTGGAATCGTGAGGGAGGAAACCTCAACCCCCATCTGTGAAAGAGATTCCTCAGTTTACAGTTGTTTTTGCATTGTGCCGTATTATATATGGGCTATGTTGGATTGTCTGAAAAACATTCAGGTCATGACTGACGACACCTTCGACCGTTTCGAAGTCCCCTTGAGCTCTTTGCGCCGACGCTTCGCGGCGGGCATGGCCGTCGAGGCAACAACCACTACTACCACTACCACTACTGCCACCACTCCTACTACTACTACTACTACTACTACTACACAAAAAAAAAACGACTACTACTACTACTACTACTACTACTCCTACTCCTGCTACTACTGCTACTCCTACTCTTTTTGCTGCCGCTACTACTACTTCTTCTTCTGCTATTGCTCCCACCCGATCTCACATCCTGCAACCCCAAGCCCTGTCCTCAAGTTTTGTTCTAGGTCTACATCAGGGAGGGGTGTTGCTTTCGTTTCTCGGATCAAGTTTTTAGGGCTCACCAGACAGGCTGCGCGGGGGGGGGGCCTACCTTGATTCGGTTGACTTGGACACGAACGGTCCCAAGAGCTTCAGACGGCTTGAAGTTGTTGTACTTCACCTAGTTTCCTGCATGTTGCCATCAAGGTTTGCAGGCATTACTACTAGACCGACAACCTTGCACGATTCCTAGTCTTGGGGTGGTTGCATGCACACAATCCTTGCAACACCTGTTGACACACAACTCCTGCAAGGTCTACCTTGGTCGCAGCACTGGCTGGAGTCCCGCGGTGGTGGTCAACACGGTGGTCGAAGTTCCGATGACCACGGCAACTAGGCTCAACCCTCTCAGAGCGTGTGGCTGTTGAAAGGTCAATGCTACTTGTGATTTCTCATGTTATTACACTTTCCAGCGCTATGTTCAGTTTTGCGGATTGGAGAAGTAGTAGTCGTCGTCGTAGTAATATGAGTAGCAGCAGTGGCAGCAGCAGTCGTAGTAGTAGTTAGTAGTAGTCAGTAGTAGTTTGTGCCTGATCCCATAAAGCGCCAGCGGCACCCCGCATCACACCCCGAAAGCTCATTAAACCCTAAAGCCTTTAAACGCAGCAAGCACAAACAGACATCCGTTTACACACACACACACAAAAGAAGCAAGCCAAGCAACAAACACACAGATACAACCAGCAAACAAACAGACCAACCATCCAGCAAATGCACACGCAATCAAACAAACAAGCAAACATACAAACAAAGCACACGAACGAACTCAGCAAACAAACTAAGCAAATAAACAAAGCAGACACACACACACACAAGCCATTCAAACAAGCAGACGCACATCCACACCGGACAAACCTACCAAACACAAAAAGAAGCAAGCAAACAAACAAGCCAAACAGACAACCAAAGCAAAAACAAAAGGCAGCAAAACGAAAAAGCAACCCAAAGAAGCAGTCTAAGCAAACCAACCAAACAAAGAAGCCAAACAAGCAACCACCACAACAACAAAGACAATTATAGCAACAGAAACAGCCAAACCAAGCACATCAAGCAGAGAGATCAGCAAACACAAAACAGATAAAACAACCAATGACTTAAACAGATGTACGAACAAAAAAACTACATACGTATTGTCATGTATGTACATACGTACATCTGTACACCAATGCATACAGGGAGACAGGCAGAGAGAGAGAGAGAGAGCGGAAGAGAGACTGAAACTGAGACTGAGACAGTGACAGAGAAGAGACAGATAGGTCGACATAAAATATTATTGTATAGGAAAATGTATATATACATATATATATATAAATGTATACAAACAGATATATCTATATATATATATATATACATGTATACTGTATACTCATGTAGTTCCAGCATATCCACGAAACCCGAGGCCCTCTCGGAGCTCTCCATGACGCACGTGGCCTCGGCAGCCTCCGTGGAGACCGGGGCCCTCAAAGACTTGGATAGCATGGTCCCTCGACTTTGGGTAATCTTCATAATATAGATATATTAGGCCCTTAATAGTAGCCCTATTATGGACTGTTACTGTATGGGGGCTCGACTTAATGTAGGGGCCCAAATAAATACTATTTTGGAATCCTCCTGATGATAACTATAGTCTATTGGGCCCCAAAACCCTATTCTAATTACCGCTATATTATGGCTTTAGGATATTTGGGGTCTGGGGGTTTGTGACCTGGAGTTGATGGTTTAGGGCCTAGGGCCTAGGATTTGGGGGCTCGGGATTCTGGGAAACTGTTCTGACTTAGGATTGAGGGTTTTAAGCCTGGGCCCATGTGAGATGTGATAGCATAAGGGCACGACACGGGTAAACCACAGACATTCGAACAAACATGCTGTAATTGTACTTTATTTTAAGATTCGGAAGTGTACATGTCAGGATTTTACAGCAGCTATTGGGTTTCGGATTTCGAGTTTTGTTCGAAAGGCATGGTAGGATTTTAGGAATTTAGGGCGCAAGCTTTGCGTTCGGCCTCAAGCTAAGGGCTTAAGTAGGTTCTGGATCTTTGTAGGTCCTATAGATGGGGACCCGAAGACTCATCCTTGGCTTCGTGCGGCCGCATATCGGTTGAAATGATCCAGGGGTGGCAAATTGTAATTCATTCTAGCTTCTGCTGGCCGTGTTTATATTTGGCCTTCGTTTTTCTGCGGCATTCTGCGCTCCGTTAATCATCTTTACCATGGTGCACGGGTCAGATAATTTCGAAACATCAGAGGTTTCCACTTCGCCCCTTTGCGGTTGAGTTGTGGTTTTGGGGTCCACAGTATCTTGGGAGATTTCAGTTTCCGGCGTGAGTGACGAATCTAGGAGCCGAGACGTTTGGAAACGAACTACTATGAGAGACCCAAAAAGCGCATAAGCAGAAGCATTTTATAGGGATTTTAGGGTTTAGGGATTAGGGTTTAGGGTTTAGGGTTTAGGGTTTAGGTTTAGGGTTTAGGGATTAGGCATATCCCTACCTCATTGGGCTTCGTTGTCAGGGGGTTTAATTCTGTGCGGTCCTAACTCGGCTGCAATGCCAGCCCCAAGGGCTCAGGCCTCTTAGACCCTGGACCAAAAGATCTGCAGGAAGAGGCCATTTCAACTGCAATTATTGTTATTTCTAATATTATTCTTCTTATTATTGTTATTGTTATTATTGTTACTGTTATTAGCATTTCAAGAAAATGTCTGGAAGTTCCAGACACCGAGGCCGTGGGCAGGAAGAGCTCCGGTCACCCAGTTTTGGGAAGTTTCTGGGAGGGTGAAACCTGGAGCTGGGGCATGGGCTAGGAGGGACCCCCACCCTGTAATAGTGGTATAATAGGAACATAATAGGAATATAATAGGGCCCTAATATAATCCTTATGGTCACTATTACACGGTGGGGGCAGCTTCTAAGGCATCGGCGCCAGGAAAAAACGAAAAGAGCTCCATCCAACAAACTCCCAGAGAAGCATTCGTTTTAGGATTCTCGCGGGAACGACGCAGCCATGTGTTGAGAGTACCTTATCCTTTAGACGTCGCCTTATCATCATTTGGTCATCGTCACTTCCGCCATCGCCTAAAACAGCCTTCAACAAACCATGCCAAAGTCATCTGGCCATCAAAAGTATTCGTCTCATGAGATTTTGTAAGCTCACCGAAAGAAGTCGAAACATATTTCAGTAGGTCATCGAACGCCCTGACGGGCCCGGGGATGGAGGTGGGCTGGGGCGGGGCGACAAAGCGAAAACGAGACGTGAGGCAGGAGTGATTTGACGTTTCAGATAACGGGTTGCTGAATGCCTTAAACCCTAAACGTCCTTGCCAAGTAGGAGGGAAAAACCTTAAATGAACGAAGACAGAAGGATACCGTAGTTGTTTGACAAACTCCAAGCTGTGACTGCGAGCCTTTTCGAAGCTAAGACCCCGAGGCTCCAGGGTACTAGTACCTTTGGGGGCATAAATAGATTACCTACATTATTTGGGGGGGTTCCTGATTATAATCATAGTATAACGGGCCCCAAGACCCTATTCTAATCCTTAAGGCCCGTGTATTGGACTCTGCACATTGTCACATGGCCAGGTTCGCATCGGTTTCCCCGACTCCGCCCAGGAAGTGGAGGTCCCATCCTCTCAGTTGCGAAGCTGTCGTCAGACAAAGCTGTAGACAGCCGCAACGAACAGAAGCATGCTACTACGGTTGATGATATAAATCCCGCATTACCTTAAGGACCCTAAACTATGGGAGTTATGGTGTCTTCCTTATGATGGGTAATGCAGGATTTATATCATCAACCGTAGCAGCAGTTCAGCAGACCCCTGATTAACAAAGCCCCCTTCTATGATAGGGATCCTAACCTTGAAAGGGGCTTCATTATCCAGGGGTCTGCATTGCTCATCTTGCAATGACACCGCCTATTCTCGAGTTATGGGTCTTAGCGCCGATGCTACTACAGGCTCATGAGATGTAGCATACTCTGCACATGTAAGCCACCTTAGGACTTGAGATTGTGCTTAATTCCGACAGCCAAGACAGAGTTGTCATCGCAATGACCTTTTTGGCACAGCAGCACTGGACTGTAGCGAGAACTTGCAGGAACATCTTTATCATGTTCCCAGGCAAGGCAATTTAGGAGTTTCCGAAAATAGGGGGTACCTTATTTTGGGGTCCTTATAACAAGGATCCTACCATTTAGTGTGCTATATTAGGGTCCCCTATTTTCGGAAACTCCCATTTAGGAGTTTTGTTCCGGTTCATCCTGAACCGCTTTTGTGCAATTCGTACAGCTGGGCGGGTCATGAAACCCCCCTGCGGCTTCAGTGCCAGCAAGCCGTCCACAATTCGGCGCCTACCACGGAATTCAATGTTCTTTGTGTCCTCCTCAGGAGGCTTCAGCACGAGAACCGATGGAGCCCAGATGCTGAGGCAGTTTGACCAGACCCAAAGATGCCGCTCTAATGACTAATGGTATTATGTAGGGTAGTAGTCATGTTAGCTGCCGATTCCCACGCCTCCTCAAACCCTGAGTCACAATCCCTGCAGTTCTTAAACCCTTACCCTGAAACCCTCAAAACCTAAACCGCCTAAGACTGAACCACTCGGCGGTGGGCTCCGGAAGAAGACTTAGCACCTGCATCGCAAAGAAAATGGTTGTGACGGGGGAGGGGAAGCTGAAGCGACTCCTTGTGGTCCGTGTGTCTGGATGCAGAAAAGAAACCCGGTTCTGAAGTTGTTTCAGGTGGATGTGCAGTAAGCGGCCTTCCAGGATTTGTATGGGACGGTCCTCGGTTCGAGACCCCCGGATCCAAGCATGCAGAATCCCCTCGTTCCCCGAGCCTGTGACACCTGAACCATTGCAGCCACGCCAGCAAGCGACGCCTGTCCCACAGTTGTTTTGGATCTGCCTCCAAAGTGGCAACTGTCACGAAGATCTTGGCTCATGGCAGTTGGCCTCGACACAAGCTCAATCAAGCGATAGTCGTCAGCAAGAGGGTTTACAGAGCACCCTCGACGACCAGAGAGAGGGGCAAGAAGAAGAAGAAGATAATAAGAAGAAGATGGTGATACCCAACACTCCAAGACGACCCAAACCCCGAACACCGAACCACAGCGCAGCAAAGACACAAACCACGGACTCCACCACACCACACGGGGGCCGGAGGCCACCAATCAGTGCGGAGAGGGGTGTGGCAGGCACGAACCGAGATCATATATGCTGGACAGTTTCCGACTACTCGTCGTTATTGTCTGGGGCTCAAGTGCGCGGACATGACCGCAAGGGACGACCCACGTTGTTTGCTCACTATGTAGTACGTCCATGCGCCCGTCGAGACTGTGTATCTTGGCAGGCTATGGATTGCTGAGCTCCAAGCCAAGGTGAATGTTACTTCTGCTGTGACCACTGCATAGTTACCGAGTACTTAGAGGATCATGGGACTTAGTAAGTAAGGTTATAAGTACACTAATTGGGGTTATAAGTATAGTTACCCTAATAACAACAACCCCAGTTACTAAGTCCCATGATCCTTTAAACCCTAATCCCCCATAGATCCCTTATAGATCCCTTTATAGATCACTTTAAGGAACCCTTTAAGTTACTAAGTCCCATGATCCTTTAAGTAGCCTTAAGAACGAGGTGAGGTCCTCTCTGCGTCGCTGCATTTCCTGCAAACCTCCTTTAGTAGTAGCAGTAGTCGTCGTAGTAGTAGTAGTAGTAGTAGTAGTTGTAGTTGTTGTTGTTGTTGTTGTTGTGGTAGTAGTAGCTGGCAGTCTAGAGTCGTTTTCGGTCCCAAGGCGCATTGGTTGCCCTGTGCTTTCAGCTTGGACTTGCTTTGCGAGATCGAGATGCCCCCTTGGCTTTGTCATCAGGGGGATCAAGAGAAAATTCTTTTGCTGACACCAGTAGCGATGATAGAGCGGGTGTGAACCCGTGGGTTCCGGTGACAGCACCGTCGCGCTGCATTCTTCGGAGCCTGACCTCTATCGCCAGTGTCGATGTGTGCTTATCTGCTGTTGTTGCCACTTCCCTTCTTACATGCTTCCGGCCGACGGGACATGCAATGAGCCGTTCAAGGCCCCGGGATCTGTTGATGCACTTCCTCTGAATGTCCTAAGGGCGGCGGATCGAGGAGCAAGCTCGGACCGGACGTCGCTCAGAAGGAGGAGCGGAAGAAGCGCTTGCAAAGCTGAAGCGATTGCTCCTCTCCCTGACTCCTAGAGGGTCCTTGCAAGAAGGATCTACTTCGCGTGAACCCCAATCCTGGTCTGGATGTGCTTTAGGGAACCCTTACATTTATAGTAGGGCAATAAGGGGCTCAATGTTACGATTCACGGTAAATATACTGTATTCCACCAGTAGTAGCAGCAGTAGTAGTAGTACTAGTAGTAGTAATAGTAGTAGTAGGAGTAGGAGTAGTAGTAGTAGTAGCAGCAGCAGCAGTAGTAGTAGTAGTAGTAGTAGTAGTATCAGTAGTAGCAGTAGTAGCAGTAGTAGCAGTAGTAGTAGTAGTAGGAGTAGTAGGAGTAGTAGGAGTAGTAGTAGCAGCAGTAGTAGCAGTAGTAGCAGCAGTAGTAGTAGTAGTAGTAGGAGTAGTAGGAGTAGTAGGAGTAGTAGTAGGAGTAGTAGTAGTAGTAGTAGTAGGAGTAGTAGTAGTAGTAGTAGGTGCAGCAGAAGGGTTATCAAGGATCCTTAAAGTCTCAAAGCCCAAGCTCCGACTGGGAACCTGGGAGGGCATCTTGCCTGGCCCCAAGCTCAGACTCCAACTTCCGGAAGACACGGAATGTCCGGGCCCCAGCACGATGCAGAGTTTCGTACTCGCTCTTCCTAAACCCACACAAAAGACATGAGAAGTACAGGCCCCAGGGTTTCCTTCAAAATTCGCTGTTCGGACGCCGGAAACTCACAAGAAAGAGGTAAGAAGTAATACAGGGGCCTAAGCAATTACCAATACTATCCTCAGGGTTCCTTATTATAGTTGACAGTTCAATATCCCGAAAAGACCTTATTCTAAGCATTAAGGCCCCTACTGTGCCAGATTCGGGGTCCGCTCGGGGGCCGCGCAGAACCGTCTGGCTTCTCAACTTCGCAACTTCCTTCGGAGAGGAGTCTCCCGCTGTTTCTGACTGCTGGTACTCCCACCTGTCACTTTCAGCCCCGTGAGGATTGAAGCAACCCAGACCAGAACCTTAAAATTTCTTCACTAAACCCTAAACCACTAAACCCTAAACCCGATTGCAAAGCTGCACCGCAAAGACTGCAGAGATGCTTGCCCGCTATTTCGACGAGTGTTGCGCACTAAGGTGACAATGCTGTAGAGGTCGCGTGGCAGCTTGGCCAGCTGGGCATTAAAGGCAAGCCAATTCTCAAGATGCATCAAAGTGCGGTATGTGGATACTGTTGATGATATAAATCCTGCATTTCCTTAAGGACCCTAAACTAGGAGAATTATGGTATATTCCTTACTATGGGTCATGCAGGAATTATATCATCAACCGTATGTATGTGTATGTACGCGACTATGTATATATGTACATGTATATACCACCCCCCCACCTCAAAGCCCACAGATTCCCTTCCTTTGTAAAACGCAAAACAACTGGCATGCAGTTCCCTTTCCCTTCCCGTCACATAGCGAAAGTGTTGGTCCGACGTCACAGAGTCTCGCCTGATCCAAAGCCAGCTACAGTGTATACGGTGGAGCCCACCGTTCAGTAGCAAGGTCTTGCTCGACACAAATGCACTGTACACAAGCAGATGCAGTGGCCCTTTTGACGATCTATCTTAACTTGCTTTGTGCTAATTTGTGATTTATGTACGAAATGCAGTTTTTCTCACCAAGCCTTTCATCATAGTGTATATCATCATCATTAGTTCCCTAGCACGGCCGTCATCACCAACTGCATCATCACCTGTATCCCCCTGCTAGATCGGTGCAAGGAGCACGTCTGCCAAATGTGTGTACGCATTAGGTGCCGGAACACTGTAAAGACCGGTGAATGCTTCGCTCACCATTTCGTGCTGCATGTTCTAAACTAAACAATGATTCTGTTCAATGGGCTGTCCAGTTCGATGAAAAGTTTTCTTACCACTTACCACTTCAGCGGATGTAGAATCATGTTTTCCTACAGCGCACAATGAGAATCGAACCATTCAGTTCAACTTCTTTGCCGTTCCAAAATTTCGCCGGAATTCCTTTCCGCTTGTGTATTTTGACTCGGGTATAGTCAGGACTTGTTTGCGTAGATCTTCGCTTGTTACCTCATTACCCGTTACCCGCTTGCAGTCACGTGTTAGATGGGTACAAGAAAGTCCAATGTGGTCAAATTGTCATCTAGAAAAGGAGCATGTTTCACTTTACGCTAATGCACGATTCGGAGATGGATGCTCTGCGGCAGTGCACTGACTGCACGGCACCGGACGTCATTAGCCCGCCGCCCCCCTCCACAACCCCCAAGTGCCGTGCGTAGCGACGCAAAAAAGGAGAATGCTATCCGCACCTGCCGCGCCGCCTCCTGCTATTGCTACTGCTACTCCTACGCGTGCGCCTACGCCTACTACTTTGCCTACTGCTACTGTTACTACTACTACTACTACTACTGCTGCTGCTGCTACTACTACTACTACTACTGCTACTGCTACTGCTATTGCTACTGCTATTGCTACTGCTACTGCTACTGCTACTGCTACTGCTACTGCTACTCCTACTCTACTACTACTACTACTACTACTACTACTACTACTACTACTACTACTACTACTACTAGTACTAGTACTACTACTACTACTACTACTACTACTACTACTACTACTACTACTACTACTACTACTTCTTCTCCTACTACTACTACTACTACTACTACTACTACTACTACTAACAAGTGGGAGCCAAAAACTACTACTACTACTACTACTACTACTACTACTACTACTACTACTACTACTTCTACTACTACTACTACTACTACTACGACTACTACTACTACTACTACTACTACTACTACTACTATTGTTATTATTCTTCTTATCATTATTATTGTTATTTCTCTGCTTGTCTTTAGAACACCGTCTACGAAACATGATAGTTGGATGTGCCATGCTTCAGCTGATTTGTTGTTCACAAGTGTTGATTTTGTGGTTGCCTGCCTGATTGTCTGTGTGATCCGTCAGCCTCGTGCAACAAATCACGGCTCGTGGCACAAAGAGTTTCTTGCTGTTCTCCACAAACACAGGCTACAGTCGAGTCTCCGTTCAGGCGAGGTGTAGGGTCGGTCTCATCTCTTCCCTGCTCTGCAATGTAAGCCCAGAATGGGAAAAGCTGATGCACTTTTCCTTTAACAAGACAAGAAGCCGCAATGAGACTGGAATCAGAGGCAACACGACGACAGAGCACAGTCTGCACAAGAAAGTGTGCCCTCCTGCCCAGAGCCGCTGGTGTTGTGCCCTCCTGTCGGTGCGAAGATCAAGTCGAGCTGAGTAGAACCCGAAGATCCTTGTAAGCTCCCTGCAAGGCGAAGGCACACCATGCGGCTGGCATGGCATCATCTGTGAGATGGAGACGTGCGAAGTCATAGAGCTCTTGGGCTTTCAGATAGGCTACTATTTGCTTAAGAAACCCCCAAAAAATGAAAATAATAATCCCTATATTACCCCCATAAGGAATATATTTCTTATTTTTTGGGGGTTCTTAAGCAAATAGTAGTAGGGAGCCAGGGAGCCGGAAGGCGAAAGCGGCCCAGGTTTGTTTTTCAAATGTTGTTTGCATGTGGAACAGGAGCTGAAATACCGAGTTCTTGATGTCTGAGGATCGCGATCTCTGATGCCGCTGGCGACATTGCTGCTTTGAAGCCTCTGCAGGAATTGCGGGTCTTAGTGCTTCACGGCCCCCGTGTTGTTGGAGATCTCTTGTCTCTACGCGGCCTGACCAAGCTCGAATCCCTGACCCTGCACAGTGTGCAGGTCTCGGGAGACCTCTCTGCTTCTCAGATCCTCAATACCTATATGGGAGTTTCAGAAAATTCGGGGTACCTTATTTTGGGGTCCTTAATAAGGATCCTACTATTTAGGGTACTAGATTAGGACCCCCTATTTTCGGAAACTCCCATATAACCTTTAAGCTTTTTGGGCTCTTTATAGGTTAGTCGGAATCGGAAAGCTAACCTCTTAAATGTCTGGGGCTTATTAGAGTGTAGTAAGGCTTTGGAGAACCTTACGGAGCTCCAAACTCTGTATTTGAGACACGCCCCGATGTCTGGAGACTTCTTGGGCTTGCGGAGCTTGGTGAAGCTTGAGACGATGTATCTTCAGAACCTGCAAGGCTCCGGAGACCTCGCTAGCTTTCAAAACCTCAGAGTGCTTGGCTCTCTGCACCTGGAGGAGTGTGGGATTTCGGGCGACCTTTCGGGTCTGAAAGGACTCACACAGCTCCTGAGTTTGCACATTCACCACGAGAAGGTTTCGGGAGACATGTCCAATATTGAAGAACTGCGGAAGCTTCAGTGGCTGACTCTGAGGGGGACTCTCATCTCCGGCGACATGGCTCTCTTGCCACGTTTGCCCGAGCTTCAGTTTCTGGATCTGGAAGCCAGCCAGCTGTCGGGGGATATCTCTGGCCTGCAGCACCTGACAAAGCTGAAGGATGTTTACCTCAAACGAAACCGCGGAATCGGGGGAGACCTCTCTGGGTTACAAAACCTCACTATGCTCAGGATCTTGCACATCGAGTACACCAATGTTTCTGGAGACATCTCCAACTTGCAGAACATGAGCCAGCTCCGTCAGGTAAACATCGAGGGAGCCCCCGAGATCTGCGGGTCTTTGTCAGGAATAGAGAACCTCAGGAGGATGAGAGAGCTGAATTTGGAGAAGGCCAGGAAGGTCACCGGCAAACTGAAGGACTTGCAATATTTCCCACACCTCCACTTCGTGAGACTCAGCGAGACAGGCATCGAAGGCCGCCTCAATGGCTTGAGGTACCTGACAAAGTTGGAGAGGGTGTCTGGTTCTTGTTTAAGGTATCTTGTTTAAGTTGCCACAATAAGGGAACCGTATTCTTGTACGATAAAGATCCGCACTATGGTAACTTAAATTCACATGAACCCAGGTTTACATGGCCGGCACCGAAGTCACTGGCGATATCATGGCCTTGAGACATTTGCCGAAGCTGGAGGTTGCGGATCTATCGAAGACCCGGGTGTATGGTTGGCTTTCCCCGAAGTGGCTAGGATGCTGCCAAAGCTTGCGAGAGCTTTTGCTTGCCGACGGGAGCTCAGCAGCTCAGGGGTCTGTTGTCGTTTGCATCTCAGATACTTTGACAGCGCCAGCAGAAGCTCTCACCGGAGATTTTAAGGACAGCCGCGTCGGCGATGAGCCCATACCACCGGCGTTCATCAGCATCTCCACGAAGCCGCGCTTGCTCCCTGCACTTCAGGCTTTGGATGTGGCTTAGCTGGTGGACCTGGTCCCAGAGACTCCAATATCCCTTAATTGTGGAATATACCTAACATCATATCAGGGACCCTACTATAATTTGAGGTATGTTCCTCAATTACGGGATATTGGAGTCTCTGGGGTTTTAATGTCAGGAAGCTTCTGGCTGGCAGACTCAGGCTAGTCAGGCTAGATTGCATATCTTCAGCTGAGGTGAGCCGCTGCCTCTTTCGAGGCACTGTCGCACAGCTACTTGTGCCGCTTGCTGAGACACCCCTGGCAAGCATCGCTGCCGCTGGAAATGGACTCCAAGGCGACATGCCCAATCTGAACGCTATGCGTCTTGAGGTAGACGGAGCTCTTTTTGAGGTCTGGGGCAGCTTGCTCTCTGAATCCTTGCGTGCGCTGGATCTCTCTGGCAACAATGTGACGTCCCTGTCCATACTCCCTCTGAAGCTGCTGCGGATGGACTTGAGCCGCAACATGGGCCCCTTGGTCATCAGCCCTTTGGTTCTCACGGAAGCGGTGAAGAAGGAGGTCGACCTGAACCTCTATCGTACCAGGCCGCCATTTTTGCTGAAATGCTCAAAGTACCCTTATAGTAACCCTTGCAAGGAAGCCCCAAACACCCCTCTGGCGAAGCCGAAGCAGAGAACTTGTTAGCACAAGATGCGACGGGGAGGCTTGCGAATCGCGAAGAAGTGGAGCCTCTCTTGCGGAAGGAGCTGAAGCTGCAGGAGACGAGGCTTGGGCCTCGCTGTCCGTGCATGGAGCTTGGACCGACTTCGACACCACGAAAATGTAATATAAGGGTTGAAATAATAGCAACCTTGTTTTTTTCAGAAAAGTATACTATAATGGGCCAAAACCCTGTTGTAATTATTCAGGCTCCCTACATTATAATTGTGGCGAGTTGCATTTTTTGTCGGATCCCTGAGGTCCCCTCCGGAGGAGAATGCCGGCTATGCCTGCATTGACTTGGCAGCGACCAACCTCCGCGTGACGCCCGACCGCTTCCTGCCAGAGCAGATGTGCGTGTGTCGTCCGGGCCACAAAGGCTTTGGCACCAACTGCAGCAGCTGTCCTGCAAACACCTTCAGTGATACGGAGAATCAAGCCGAGTGCAACGCCTGCCCGCAGCACAGCTCGGCACCGCCGGCGGCAAGCTCCTTGCAGGCTTGCGAGTGCACCTTCGGAACAGCGAAAGGCGAGAAGACGAATGCAAGTTGCCAGTGTGAGGCGCACACAGCCTTGCTGAAAGGCCGCTGCGAGGTCTGTAGCAAGTTACACCTTCGCTGCCCCGAGCCCGGAGCCACGGCCAGCACCGCAAAAGCGGCGCCGAACTTTGCCCGCCTGGCGCCTCACGCAGAGGAAGTCTTCAAGTGCCTGGATGCTGGTCGCTGCACAGACGCGGCCGAGTCAGGTTGCGCAGATGGACGCATGTCGGAAGATGCGGGTTCAAGTTCTGTTTTGATTGGGACTTCAAGGGATCGGTACCGCTCTCGCTGACTTTGGTAGATTTGCTGGTTTTCCTTCTAAGGATATGACGGGCCTCTCTGCCTGGAATGTGCCAGCGGCTACCGTGCTTCTAAACAGCAACTCGCAAGCACAGAAAGACTCCAATTACCACCGTGCATAGGCAGCAAACCACGAGACAGATTTGGCTTCACAGTTTTTTGGGGAGGGGGTGCCACAGGGCCACTGGCTAGCTAGCTGAGCGCTCTTTTCCCTTCGGCCTCTGAGGCACTGCGTCCCGTGCCAGGGAGCCTTAGGCGCTCGGACAAAGGCGTTCGCTCTCGTTTTCATTTCGGGTGCTTTGCTCTTGGCGGCCTTTGCTGGCGTCGCCTTTCTCTTCAGGCACCATGGGTTTAGGGTTTAGGGTTTGGGGTTTAGGGTTTAGGGTTTCTTCAGGCACCAAAGGGAGAAGCTTTGGGAAATGCTTTTGGAAACCGGTGAATCCTGGTTTAGGACAGCTAACTGTTGGCTAACTCCCCCTTTGCGCCTTCCGAACTGAGGCTGAAGGGCCGTACGTGAGAACCGATGCCCCGCAGCCGCCATAATACAGGGGCTTGAAAAGCTATCGCCACGACTATTCCCAAGATTCAGTTGCTAAGGGCCCTAAACCCTAAACCCTATAATATGCCTCGCCTGGTTTGTCCGAGTGTGAGCGCCGAAACCCTATAATTGTCCGAGTGTGAGCGCCGAAACCCTATAATTACTCGTTTGCCTGGCGTCAGATCCGAATCATCCGCAAGGAAGCTCTAAAGAGGGGCTGGGCGTATTAGATCGTTTCTTCAAGACCGCGAAAATCACGGCTTCAGGCTGGAGCCACGAAGTGCCAGGCAGCAACAACTAAGCTTTTGTCCCAAACAGGTATGTCGGCGAAGCTTCCGAATCTCGCTCAGATCAGAGCTTATATAGTTGTTTCCAGTTAAGCACCGCATGTGCTTGGCCACCCATTGCTCCATGCAGCTTTCAGCATCTCTCTCTCTCTCTCTCTCTCGCTCGCTCTTCCTTATGCGACCGCCTGTGCTTGCGATGCCAGTCATTCTGAATTCTCGCCCTGTGGCCCGAAACCCAAGCAGCCCCGAACTGTCACAAAAAGTGGATCCCGCAACCCCCAAACAGGGCTGAGCCGAAGCTCAGCAGCTTCTTTTATGACACCCCACGACCCAAAAAACAACGTGCGCCCTTCAAGCCCCGGGGTTCGCAAGCCTCATGGATGATCAAGCCTCAAACAAATTCCCCCCCTCCCCAAGAAACGACCACAGAAGCACAGACCAAAACTGAAAACAACCAGGCCTCTCAAAGCTTTCAGGACACGCGCAGCGCACCTTGGCCCGAGCCTCTGCGAGTGCCGGCGCCTCCTCACGGCTCAGGCCGCATCTTTGTGTGCTCGTTTACTGGAGGGTTTGGGCTTTAGGGCGTTTAGGGCGTTTAGGATTTAGGGCTTTTTCCAGAGTGAAAGACTCGTCGTGAAATCATGGTGCCAGGGGCATGACATGTGTTAAGGAAGAGTCAACTAATCTTGGGCTTTTTGGGTTGGGTGGAGACGCTAGGGCTCAGGGTCTCTCTGAACTTGGTTTCGGTGCTGTGAGGTTTCGTATTGAGCTTGTCTTGGACGGCGTGCACCTCCCCAGTTTCACTTCGCATCTTCTTGTTCTTATTCGCGCGTGCGCGTGCATGCAGCAAAGTCATAGATTAAATGTGGCCGTGTCGAGTTCGCGGGTACCCGAGCACAGTGGTGGCATCGTTAGGATCGAGGGGTGCGTCAGAAGCGTGCGCATACCAAAAGGCTGTGAAGAGACTTAGCTAAGGGTGTTAAGATACCTGTCTGGCTTGAGGGCCTCATGTGCAATGGCAACCGGGCCTTGGGGAATGAAAGCTTTCGACGGCTTAGGATTGATGTCGGATGCTCGCAGCTTTCGGCCTTCCCCTTCGGCCACTTTCCTGGGACGGGTAGTGCCTGAGGCTGAACCCTCAGGAAGGTTCTCCTTGATAGAAACACACTACTGAGTGCCCTGTAGCCGATGTGACAAACAGACCCCATGTCTTGCAATGCCTCATTTCGACGCAATGCTTTGTAGGCACCTGTGCTGCTGCAATTGGCTCAGCTTTGGGTCGTGCTGGCGAGCCTCGGCCTTGCTTTGAAGCTCCTAGGATCCTACGGCCTCCCCCCATTCCAAGCCCGTGAAGCCATCTTCGTGTTTAAGGCAGCTGGCGAGAACGGCGCCGATGCACGAGGCCTGCGGGTTGCAGACACATGTCTTGACTCGTCTGAGAGATTTCTTCAAACAAGGGCCCCCTTGTTCCGGTGGTCTCTTTGGTAAGTTCGCGCTATTCAATTTAGGCTCGTGTCCGGGTACCCTGTTTTAGGTAGGTGCTGGATCTCGGGCCTGTCCAGAGCCAGCAGCATAGCCAGCCGCATGAATGGCATGGTGGGTTGTGCAGCAAATTTTGCCCACCTTAAACCTTCAAGCCCTGGCAACGTGCAGGAACTGCAAGCGGAGGCAGCTCATCGTGGCGACTTGTCTCGTCAATCTTACGAAGACTCGCAAAGCCTGAGACGGAAGTTTGAGAAGTTCGCGGAGGTTTTTCCAGGAGCTGAGCTGAGCTACGGTTGATGATATAAATCCTGCACCACCTTAAGGACCCGAAACTATGGGAATTATGGCATATTCCTTATTATGGGTCATGCAGGATTTATATCATCAACAGTATCATCGATCCTGAACTTTGGCGTCGGGGGGGGGGGGGGGGGCCACCCTGTAATAGTGGTATAGCAGGAATATAATAGGGCGCCAATATAATCCTTATAGTCACTATTACAGGGGGGGGCTCGCAGCGTTTGTGGTGAAGTTGGCTTAGATCGTTGCAGCCTGAGCCACGGAAACACGAGGCGTTCTGCATTGCTTCCTGAGACCTTGCTGGGCCCGGGCCCGGTCGCCAGAAAGCCAACGACTCCCTGGTGCTTAGCAGGGAATGGATCCCCTATAATGGTTGATAGTAGTCCCCATGACCCATTCCCGAGTAAGAACCAGACAGACAAGGTTTCTATGTTCAGCTCCTTTGCCCCACGAAAATAGACTTTCAATTTCAGGCGGCGACATGTATCTATGCTGTGAGTTTTATTCGCAGAGGTTGTGTGTTTGGAAATTTGCACATGATGAAATGGCAGTTTAAGATTTATCGCAAGCCGCCCGTTGGTGAAGCTTGAGCAGCAGAACCGTGAACCCCCCAGCAGTCGAAACTTAGACTTGGATTCAGAACAGGAAACACCTGGAACTTCCTCAGATCCTCTGATTTCAACCCCGAGCGTTCCTTTTCTTGCAGCCGGCGGTGAAAAGATGGTGAGCATCAAAGGGCAAGCAAACCAACTTGCATTTATACCAGCGCGAGGATTGTGATACTGGTCAGAGTTAAAACAATTCTCGTGATCGTTGTGCTCGAAGGCAATACATCCCCGCAACAGTATGTCAGACAGCCACACACACCCTAGCACCTGCCTGCAAAGCCTCGCAGCATGCTCGAGAAGCCATCGGTGTGTTCACGATCTGCTCAGTACTCGAAAAACGTCTGATCTTAATCCTCATCTCAGGTGACTGGTTTTTCTCGTACGTGGAAGTCTCCCAGCTGACGCCGGCAGAGCTGCAAAACTTCCTGGCTCCCGGGCTTTGCATAATTATACTACGGACGGCAGGGGACATCGATGTCGCAATGGCTGTGTACGCTTTGAAATCGTCTGCACTAGGCCGGAAGAACCAACCGTCTCCGAGAAGCAAGGCCCGACGCCTGAGACGAGCACCTCAACTCCCCTTAACTAAAGAGTTGAATGAGTATACCTTATATCATAATATTCATGCCGGTATATATTCCCTAGTTAAGGGGTATTGGGTTCTCTGGGTAACACCGACTCTCCGGTGCCGTGATTTGTTCAAGCCTCTGCCGAGAACACAAAGAGAGGGACCTTGAACCCATAACACCGGAACCCTTGCCAAACCCCCCAAAAAATCCACTGAGGCTCTTCAGTGCCGCTTCCATGGGCCCTCAGTTCGATGGTTCTTCGCTCTCGCCACTCCAGTGTTGCCCCTTCTCGTTCTGGCGAGCTGCACCTGACTCTTTGCCGAAAAGGGACATCTGTATTGCTACACTAACAGCTTGGGCTTTTGGTCTTCCGCTTCAGTTTGCTGAAGTGTTGTTGCAATAGCCCCAGACTTCCTAGCATCTGAGAAGGCTTGTGGAGCTGGTGTGTGCAAAGGCTTGTCTTGCAGCACCGGCTTGTCGTTGCGGTTCAGCTTTGGCCCGTATTCCTGGGCACCATGCTAACATCCTCCTGCAGCAAAGCCTGGATAGGCACTTGTTCTCTCACCTTCTCTAACATGGGCATTTGGGGGTTTCTGTGGACCCTTACTGACTGGTGTTGGTGTATACTCGTTGTTGCAAGGCTGCCCCTCGTGAGCGAGTCGGGTGTTGGTCACTAGAAGCTGCTAGGTCTAGGCGTGTTGTATTCATCGCTGAAGCGTCTGCTGGAGGCTTCTGTTCCGCTTGATGCGATTCTCGTGTGTGGCGGCTTTTTTGTGGCTTTCAGGTGCCTTTTGTAAAGTTGGCTGAGGGACCGTGCCTTTTAACTCAAAGCACCACTCCTCCAAGGCTTGGAGCTCTGCACCCACGGCAACGGCGCCTCGCTCGCAAAACCCTTCCTTGCAGCAGGGAGTGCAAATGTGCAAAAGGCCCCGCTAGGCCTAGCTGCGAGCCGCCAGCAGACCAAAGAGTCCCGAGATTTCCTCCCGAGGGATCCGCGTGGCCTTGAAAGTCTTGACCCTCCTCTACGTGGGCGGGGCCTCCGGGGCCTTTCGCTTCCAGGCCTGCCAGCGCCTGGACGGCGAAGGCGCCCCCGGTTCCTCCGCCAAATCTCGTCTGTTTGCGCTGCCGGTAAAAGCCCTGAAGCCCCTCTTTTTTGGCAACCCTGCCATGGCTGTGAGACTTTTTGGAGTGGGAGGCCGCACCATCCCGGAGCACTTGGCCTTCCGCCCGCTGCTTCCTCGCGCTTGGCTAGTTTGGGGTTAGGGTTTATCTCTACTCGAGTGTGGGTGGGCTTATTGTCGTTCAAGGAGCCTCTTGGAAAGGATGCAGGTGATGTCAGTAGCTTTCCTCCAAGTCTAGAAGTAATTGCATGGCAAGGCTTGTATGCTTACCTACTGTCCGTGTCGGAGAGCCCTAACCCCTCATAACAGCCTTCTACCAGGATTCCCCTCTGGATCCAACGGCAGAGAGAGAGTGAGAGCTTGAATCGTTGAGAAACCTTTTGAAAGACCCTATGCGCAAATGAAGCAGGCAGCTCCGTAATTCGATTGAGAGTGTCAAGTTAAGATATCATCGAGCCTGTATAGACTCGTTGAAAGACCTCGCGAATGAGGATCTTCGTAAACACCCTAAGCCTTCTACCCCAAGCCTAGCTTCCTCACTGTATACCCTTGCGGTACCCTTGCCTTACCTTGGGATAGTGGGGAATGGAAGAACGGTAGTAATAGCAGTTATTGTACCCCATTCCTCCATTCCCTGCTAACTAAAGGTAAGTGCAGCAGCCTTATGGTGTCCCCCAGCTAGAGGCTCTTCCCGCATCTGCTATGTGCCGACGATTCCGGCGAGGCATTCCTCGCCGGAGCCCCGAAAAACGAACATGCCTTTGTTTCCCTTGACAAGTAAGGAGAGCCCTATGGGAGTTTCCGAAAATATGGGACCTTAATATCGTACCCCAAATAGTAGGATCCTTAATACAAGGACCCCAAACTAAGGTACCCTTAATTTTCGAGAGTTCCCTTATTGTGGCGAAGAGGGGGTCTGTTTCGGGGGCAGAAGACTCAGAACAGGGCTCCTGAAAGGTTTTTTTTGCAAGGTTTTGCAGGGTTGTACGTTTTATTTTGCTGAGGAGCTTAGTGGCGTTAGACCGTTGAGGGTTTCAATACGTAACCTGCTTCTGACGGAATTGCCAGAAGTTCGCAGACGAACCTCAACATTTACGAGGAAAGCTGCTGCACTTGAAAAACCCATAGCGGTCGCGCTGCGGTTAAGTGCTGCACCCCGCAGCGGTGGGCCAAGGCAGCAAGAAAGAAGTTGAGCCTGAACCCTGGGAGCGTCACTGTCGTGCCTGCCACCCCTCAACCCTGTTTAGCAAGCCCGCAAAGCGCGAACACGTAATGAACTGTTTTACACGTTTATTTCATAGATGTGAAGAAAACGGGAAGAACATGAAACCTACTACAAAATTAAAGCTCAGGATTTACAGGTTTAAGTGTAAGAAAATCTTTAGCAAGGAGTCGCATCTGCGAAAGTGTAGAGGTCTTTCCAGCTTTTTGGCGAAGGGATTTGGGATGCAAAAAGGCTTAAGGCTTAGGGGCCTATAATGGGAGAGGAATGGGAAAGGGTAGGAACCCCGAAACGAGACGCATTGAGGTGGATCTTGTTGGCGGGATCACCTGCGTGGCTTACGGCATTGTCATTCCTTGCTGTTTTGCCGTGCTCTTCGCCAAACAGCATGTGGTAATGCAGCCACTTGGCCGAAGCAATTCATTTTGGCACAGGGCATGTGTTTGGGAATCTACTGACCTAAGGATAAGCTTATTGAGTTTTAGGCCACGGAAGATGGGAGTTTCCGAGATTAGGGGACTCTAAAATAGTACCCTAAATAGTAGGATCCTTATTATAAGGACCCCAAAATTCAAAACAAGGTACCCCGAATTTTCGCAAACTCCCAGATCTTTTCAATATTTTCGGGGTCCCCAGACGACGCAGAAGAGGTCTTGTCTGCCATCGCTAGGCCGAGCAAGATCTTCTTCGTCGCCTGCGACGATGACAGTCAGGGAAAGGTGCATCTGCGTCTCAAGGTGGCAATTTGGGAAACTTGTTAATTTCCCTTATGGTTCCTAGAAAGGTACCTATTCATAAATACTTTTCAGAGCCCCAAAACTACATCCCAGGTCTTGAGTTTTGCGAGAAGTCCGCCACTTTCCAGGAGATTCCTGCTGCTCAAAACCTAAGCCCACCAGGAATAGATGGAAACTTCGAGAAAGAACTCTAAACCGTAAACCCCGATCTCGAAACCGTCAAATCATACATGGTGTGGGTTTCGTTTGTCTGCCGGGGAGGAGAATTGAAGGCTCCACCCTACATAACAGAAGCCAAAATGTCCAGTGTGAAGTCACCTTGGTGGTTCTGGTGTATGTGCGTTCAGGCGGTCATTGTGGAACCTTAACAGACCTGCTATCTCAGGGTAGCAAAACAAAAACAAGGCAAAAAAACACAGTTGTTAGATCTACATTATGGCTAAACCCTAAACCCTGAATCCTAAACCCTAAACCCTAAATCCTAAACCCTAAACCCTATGGCTGAAGACAACATCATGGTTCAGGAATCCAAAACGGCCAACCTGCTGGTGGCCGCTGCTGCGGCCCATGTCGCCGTTCACATTCGTGGTAACTTACCGTTGGTTAGTAGGGAATGGAAGAATGGTAGTTATGGTATTTGTATGGTAGTAATATGATAGTAATATGGTAGTTATAGTAGTTATAATTCTACCCCATTCCTTCATTCCCTACTAGCCAACGCTAAGGAAATGCAGCCGTGGAGTTGCACAAAGATGAAGTGACTCTCGGTTATTTCTTCATTATTTTGGGGTCCTCATCCAACTACTTAGGGTACTATCTCATTGGTATGTCATCCTTGAGTTTGTTGTGAAGGCTTCGCGTGGTCTGGCTCGGTCCGGTGGCAGCTGAAGACGAGCTGATAGGTTCAGAGTGCACAAAAGGACCAAGGTGGGCCGAGGTGGAGTCGGGGATAGCGCGCAGGGCAGGGGGGCCTGGAGGCACTTTGCGGTCAGAGTTTTAGGATCCTGAGGGCATTGGAAGCCAAACCCGATTGTGCGTGGAGGGGTGTAAGAGGAGGGGAAAGAGGTTCTCGAAGGGGAAACGGGTAACCTCTGATCGCTTTGATTGACGGGCCGAGCCGAAAAATTGGCATTGCCTGACTCTGAGGAGTCTGTTTCGTGTTGTTCCACTATAGCCACAGCGCGTGATTAAGTAGACTCGGGGAGAAGGGGGGCAAGACCATGTCAGACAACCTGCTCTTGCACTCAGGATCGTGACAAGCTTGCTGGGAGACAGCACCCAACACCACACAGTTTCAGTGACCTTGGCCTGTCTTTCATGTTCACATGCCCGGTGCACAGATGCGCGCACGGCTGAGAGCTGCGGCCAGCTCAGGCAGAGAGTCTCATTTTGCCGATGACGCAGAAGCACACAAACATACTGAACCGCAATGCTATGATGCGCATGCTCACCGAACGCATTCTTCTGGAAGAGGCAGAATCGGACAGATGCTGGTTCTGCACCAAGCCTGTTTCTGTGTCCTGACTGCGCCTGCGCATTTTTCCCGAATCCGGCGAGCTTGCATTCGTTGCTTGCTCGGATGCTCTCTCTTAGGAATCATGAGGGGTGCGAAGCGGCTGCTGTGCAAATACGCTGCTTGGCGACTGTAAAGCATGCGGAGGTTGGCGAAGCAAGCTACTGCCCGGCCGGGCATCCTCCAAGCGCGGCAAGTGTCACAGAATGTCACAGAACTCATCTTTCCGGGAGCGCAGGACGGCCTCACCTCCCAGAGTTATTCTCTTCCTCCCAAACCTGAAAGCCATGTCGGAGGTTTGTCAGGGGCCAACTACGCCCTAACTCGTGCGCTGAGGCCAGCTGCCGGAATGTACGGATGGAGGTGCCTGATACCGGGACCGGGTCAAGCAGGGGTACAGCCTATGAGCCTCCAAGAGTCTAACAGCGTGCCCCTGCAAGCTGGAAGTTCATTAAACGGAAACAGATTTCGATGAGGATGATGATGATACTGATGGTGGAGATGATGATTATACCATGAACTATGGTCATGCTGATGCTGCTTATGATGAAATACGACAGTGCTTGACTGAGGACAGCAGAATCATGTGGTATCGGCACTGATGATACAACGCCCGGCTAGGATATAAAGTGCATTCCGCAAGTCCGCATGTAAGGGATATTGGGTTCTCCGTGGAATCAATGAAGCCTGTGCACGAAAAGCCCGCGGGAACGATCTGAGATGCGAACCCTGGAAGCTCTCTCGAAGGAGAGATAGATACAGATTGTGTATATATATATATATATATATATATAATTATATGTACATATATATATATATGTACATATATGTGTGTATATATAGGTGTGTATATATATATATATGTATATATAACGCATCTCTACACACACACACACGTACCTACATCTACATATATATATATATATATACATGTACATATATTCATATACATATACATACATATACATATATATATATATGCATATTTATAAATGAGAAGGGGGTTGGGGCGCGGGTTCCCTTGGGCAGGTGGTGCTGAAGCTTGCATCCATGGCCTTGGTCTCTGCCCTTTGGACTGCACAGTTCGGTACAGCCCATAGAGCTATTCAGCATGAATCCCTACTTAGGGGGGTTCCTTGGATCTATAGTAGGTCTCTACAGTCTATAGGCCTATAGGGGCCTTATAGTAATTGCCTATGTTATTTTGGGGATTCTTATTATCATCAAAGTAAGATGGGCCCAAAAGCCCTCTTCTAGTCATTTAGGCCCCTATATTATGCTCTTTACGGTAGGGAAGGAGGGAGAGTGCAACTGCCTTCGACCCTTCAGTTTTCTCATGCAGCCTCCCATTGCTCCTGCTCGTTTGCTCCTGGTCTTCCAGTGATACGACTTAGGGTTTAGGGTTTAGGGTCTAAACCTAAGATTTGTCCAAGGTTTCTCTTGACTGTTGTTGGAGTTGACTGTGGCGGATACTGTTGCTGTGGGTATGGAGCTTGTGGTGATTGGTTTGGTGAGGGCGGCGAGAATGGTGACGAGATTACGAGATGATGTCTCTCGTGGTGCTGCTGCTAGAGAGATACTTTCTTGATGTTAGAGTGGTGAGCCTTTTTGCAGCTTGTATGTCCCACGTTTCCAGATCCATAGCCTCTTCCGGAGCCCACTGACATCAGCTTTGGGCTTTAGGGTTTGTTGGTGTCACTTCTCTTCATTGCCTGATAGCTGCAGTTACTTTGGGGAAACGACAGCTGGAGAGGTCGTCACTGCGAGGGACGGCCCATGGCTCTCCGTGGCCATATGCTTGGCCAGGACCTTAGCGCTCCTGCAGCCCAGAAATCTCTGAGACTCCAACCCCGACTATCCTGCCCGGGTAACCCCAGGAACCCCAACTACTATAAACCTAAACCCTAAACCCAAAATAGTATCAGCCCCTAAACACCGTCAACAGTCTGGGAACATCCCTGAGGCCGTGGCTCTAGTCATCGGCGTCGCGCGGCCCTACGCAAAGCCCCAGGCGGAACAGAAGATCAGTGAAAACCCACCATTCAGAACGGTGGGTCACTTCACAGAGGTCTAGGGGTCCGGAAGGGTTGCCTTCAAAAGAGCTGCTAGTCAAAGGAATGATGGCGGCCTATGACGGAGATGATTCAATCCAGGACTGATGATGATCGCGATGAATGAGTCCTATTCAGACTATTGTCATGCGCCCCGTTCCACGTTCACACGCGGTGGATGTTTTGGAGACAAAACTATTCTACTGTCAGTGATACCATTATTACTATTATTTTTTGTTTGACCATTATTTTGTTTGAGCAGTTGTACTACTATCACTATGATTGCCCCAAAGGTTGCAGCAGAAGTGCACAGGCCGAGGATCTTCCTTAAATCCGGTGCGCCTAAAAGGGGGCTCCTTATTATAAGTATAGTTATAGTAGGGTGATTTAGGCGCCTTAGAGTAATTACCTATACTATTCTTTGGGGGGGGGGGGGTCTTTATCATAAGTATAGTATACGGGTTACTTTTTTTGGATCTATGGTAGGGTTCTACTATTTAGGGGCCTTAGAGTAATTACCTATACTATTTTGGTGGTTCCTTGCTATAATCAATCAAAGTATAATGGGCCCCAAAAGCCTATTCTAGTTATTAAGGCCCCTAAACTAGTTGTACAGCGCAAGGTACGGTTTTTCCGCCCCTTGCCATTTCTGATTTCCCGTCGCAGGTGAATACGCTGCAGAGCTTCTCTTTTTCATGCGGCCCGGATAACACACAGGGGCTCTGAGAGGAATTCTGCAAAGGCAAGGTAAAGTCGGTAAGGTCTCGAGTCCATTCGTGCGAAATAGTATTTTCGCGCCTGCCGCAAAAATCACAATTGCAGCTGAAACGGGTCTGGAGACTTTGAGAAAGTGGTGTTGGAGACGCGTGCAAGTACTTGGGTTGAAACAGCAGCATTTAGCCCAAAGACTGTTCTGTGCTTGTCTTGGGAACCTCAGTGTATGAGAAACCCATAGCTGGGCCGAAGGGTGAGGAACCTCTGGCGCGAGCGAGCGAGCGGGAGTGAAAGTTGAAGTTGAAGTTTAGCAAATTAGTACTAACTCGACCTAGTGATTCATTACCATATTATTTACATTGCTTAACAAGCAATAGTGATGCGTTGTTTCTTCAACTTCTTTGAAGTCCTCACGTAGATCGGCGTTCTCACTTCTGAACACCCTTGCGACTTCAAATCATCAACAACAGCCATGTGGAGACATGAACTAGCAGATCATGATATAAGAAACTTTACCTTAAAACTTCTGTGGCCTAATCCTGAACCCCAGAACCCCAACCCCCAATCGTGTCCTCATCCTCCTTGTGTTCTTCCTCTCTTCTTACCTTTGGTCAGTAGGGACTGGAAGAATGCTAGTAGTAGTTGTAACTGTACCCCATTCCTCCATGCCCTACCAACCAAAGGTAAGTCTTGTGGGCATAGAGCCTGACCTCTACTTGGAGGATCATGGGACTTAAGTAAGTAAGGTTATAAGTACCCTAATTGGGGTTATAAGTAAAGTTACCCGAATAATAACCCTAGTTACTAAGTACCTTGACCCTTTAAACCCTAATCCCCCATAGATCCCTTATAGATCCCTTTATAGATCGCTTTAAGGAACCCTTTAAGTTACTAAGTACCATGACCCTTTAAGTAGGCTTGTCGGTGGCTGCTCTGGGCTTCTCGCACCGCTTCGTCCAAATCGCACGCCTGGCGCTGGTCGCACCGCTGCTGCTGGCGGCCTCCGGGGGATTCCGGTTTAGGGTTAGGGTTTAGGGTTATGGGTTTAGGGTTTAGGGTACCATGAGGTGTATACTCAACCAGCAAGAGCCGCACTAATTCTACCGGTTTGCGGGGGTGGGATTTTGGATTTTGTCGGGTCTCCGGGCTTGGGTGGTTGGTGACTTTTTGGATTCTGGCCTTGGTTCTGTTTGGAGCTGTTCCTGCTTAATGCAGGATTCCAGAAGGCTTGGAGGCATGCCGTGTTGAAATGCCTATATGCCTATACACATAGACGGACGTTTGCAGTGCAACATGAAGTACTTGCTGTGCACAAGATGCGCTGCTACGTAATGCCGCCTCAAGGCTGACTATGCTGCGGTTGGGGCGCATAGAAGGGACGAGTATTGCAGAGCAGCGTTTAACAGCCCAAACGCTCGAGCAACCCCACAAGCACACCCCACAACGCCTGTAACGTGCCCTGCTGACGTACGCAAGTCTCGGCCGTTGCCTTGTGTGCGTGCGTGCGGTTCAACATGTGTTTCTCGTGACACGGGGCCAGCACACACACACACATACACACCAGGGAGACTGGGTACCGTCAGTAGGGCGCGGTCACTGGCGTCTTTGGGCCTTGATTTTGGGTCTTTAGGGAGGTAAGCCCTCAGTTCCGCAATCGTCACTCGGCCAGGCACCGCGGTTTTTCTTCAAGGTTTGTGTGGCCAGCAACCTTCGCAGGCTTGAGCCAAAGTCGAGCATCCTGTAGATTGTTGAGGTAGGGCGTGCGGTAGATGTCGTGAACTTAAACGTTTTGCCTTCAGCTTGTGCCCCAGGCAGGAAGCTAGGGACTGCAGAGGGTATCCAATGTTCGAGGTGGTTGTGCAGCTCTTGCGCCCGGACTCCGCCGAGGGCCTGGCATTGCGTCTTCAGGAGGCCTGGGCCTCGGAATTCACAGATGTTGCCTCCGCCCAGAAGAGTTCCTTTTCCCGAGCATTCTTGCAAGGAGCTGAAAGACAAGATCCCTGAAATGCAGAAGGGCGAACTGGTCGAAGTGAATGCACAGCAACTGAGGCTGCTGTGACATATGACTCAGTTTCCGATCAATCGCGGAACCCGCCACACAAAGGATCGGTGTGCAGCAACGGTTCTAGTTTGTCTTGCGGAAGGCTTGCCAGAGCACCCATGACAAAGAGATGCATTAATCAGTAGTTTCCATCAGTCGCAGCAGGACCATAAGCATGCAAACATGATGTTGATTCAAGCCCTACCTTCGCCACGCAATGCGGAGAAGATACCAGGACGAACCACACAAGACCCAACAAGCCATGTCGTTGCCCAATACTTGGGTTCAGCAAGTGGGTTTGAAAGCGTCCAGTTCCTATAGCTTCAAGTTCGATTGCATGGGCTCAAGAGCGACGACGGTCGCTCTAGTGCTGAAAGCTTAGGGCTTAGGGCACTGGCGGCCCTGCATCGTTGTACACCACATCACGGCTTGAAAGCATCTTCAGATGGGAGTGCTAGAGCGCTGATGTGGCCTGCTATGGCCTGTGGGATGACTTCCCCAGGAGCCGAGACTTGCGTCGGGGTTTCAATTGCCTCGCCCTGCTTCGTCCGCAAATCTGTAGCCAATGTGACTGCACGACCAAGGGATGTGGCATGCGACGTTAAGGAGATCCCCGCGAACAGCGTATCTGGACATGCCATACATGCATATAACAGCTCAAAGCTTAGCGGCTTAGCACTTGCCCCAAGAGTTCTGACATTCCCATAATTAAACGGCCCCGTAATGCCCCTCTCCCTTTTCCTCCGAAAACCCCACGACAGGAAGTGCTGCTAGCAGTTGTATCCTTGTCAACATCACTGTCACTCATACCGTCTTGCGTGCACATGCAAGCAAACACAAACACACACACACACAATGTATGTATGTATGTATGTACGTATGTATTTATGTATACCATATATACACACATATGTAAAGCTGCAGGCCGGCATCAGAGCCTTGCACTGCAGCAGCACATTCTGATGATCCGGCTTCTCGGCTGACAGTGAGCTGAAGCTCTCTCCCTGTAAGAAGAAGTCCCTGAGGTGGCACGCTTCGCATGGCAAAGTAGAAGCCCCAAAAAAGGCCGGGGCCCGGTGGAAAAGCCCCCTTTGTGGGGTGGAGCCGAGAGACGAGGTCTGTACCACTTCCCCATGGTTTTCTTGGTCAAGCTTTAAAATCTTTAAAGAGCCTTAAAAGCTTGCAGCTAATACCAGCTCCTTCAATGCCTCAAAGTGAAAGCTTCGTGTCGACCTGCGCGCAAGGTGTGGTCTTCGGGACTTCGAAACAGCATCTTGCAGAGAAGAGATCCCCCGAATCTGAGTGGTGACTCACTCCATTCCGAAGGCAGGCTGCGCTCGAGCACATCGGAACCCTCGGGGTGAGTAGGCCAATCGATTTCACTCTTCAGGGCAACAGTGGGACAGTTACGGCGCTTCTGGATCAAGCTGCATATTTAATTCCATTTCTCCACATCAGGACCTCTAGGATGTCCAATGATGTCGCCTCATCTTTTCATTAGGCATTCGTACGACACCGTGTGGCTTACGCCTGTGACAAAGCCAGAAGCTTCATGGCGGGTTCTGTTGTGGTCAAGTAAGAGCATTCGGAGGAACCTGACCTGACCCACGTGCAAGCACAAAAGTGCACCCGTATGCGTCCACGGCAAGTCCGTACAGCCTCTTTTGGCTCGTCATTCGCATGAGGACGCCGCAGACCTGCTTCCCTGCCTGCGGCGACGGACTGCAAGCAAAAAGCAGTCGGCCGAGCACCAGCGCAAGGCTAGTTCACGCTTCTTTGCCAGGTCTTCCTGCTATTTGAGCGCGAAGATGGCACAGGATTCGGCGTTGGCAGCTCACAGCGTCGTACTCCCCTTTAGTCTGTCGACGCAGACGCAGTGCAGGCTTCCTTCCAGGCTTCTGCTGAAACCCAGAATTGCCAGTCTGTAGCCAACAATGAAGGACTCTTGCGACCGCAAGCACAGCAGTCAGCTGTCCGGCCGCTTCCGTGAAGGGGCAAGTGTGTTGCTAGCTGCAAAGACTCGTTCGCTTCTTTTGGCGGTTCTTGTGGCCGCCCGAAACTGGGAGACCCAGGAGTCAGTCGTCGATTTCTGCAGAGAGTCAGAGGCCTTTCTTATTGCGCTTCGTCTGCGTCGTGAAGCACGTGGTCCGAATGTGAAACGGACGTCAGCCAGCACTCGGCTGTCGGCATGGCTTTCGTCGTTGCACCGACAGCTCCCGCACGTCGCTCTCGAAAAGGGCTGGCAGTGCTGGCCGGAGGGTGAGCCTAAGCGGGGACAAGCACATGCAGCTCTTCCTAGTCTTTTGCCGGTGGACCGCCGGCCACTGCGCCTGAAGGCTTCTTTGAGAGCTCGGTGAAGTTGCTTTCGTGTGTTGGCCGAGGCTCGGAGCGTTCGCACTGCCATGCGCGCCTGAGGCAATTAAGGCAATGCTAAGCTGCTCGGCAGGCGCCGCTAGGCTACGGCTAGGCTACGGCATAGGCACGCAGGCCACGCAGGTCGCAGCACGGAGACTCGAAGTCGAAGTTTCCAAAGGCACCTTTCGCTGCCCTGACTTCGGAAAGAAAGCGCACATCCGCCTCGCTTTTTGAAGCCTCGGGCTTCCGGGGCTCCCCTGCGACGGCCTCGGCTCTGAGACGGAGCAGTCGCAGTCGCAGCTTACCTTTGGGGTACAATTATATAACTAACACTACCATTCCTCCATTCCCTACTAACCGAAGGTAAGTCATGTCACAGGTGCAGTTTCTCGCATCTGCTCGCGCATGAAGAGCTTCGTAAGAGTTTGGGGGACGCGGCGAGGCGGGCGAGGCTGCAGGCCGGAGACACCCAGCGATGTTGCGGCAAGCTAAGAACGCAGAGCCAAAGGGCCAAAAGACTGCTCAATTGATGGGAACCCTGAAACAAGTCGCGACAGGTCGGAAAACTTGCCGATAAGCAAGCCGTCGACTTCAAACCCCCTTGAAAAGCACACGTCCACACGAATCTGAGAAGGGCGCTGAGGGCTCTGCATGTTGAGGCTCCATACCCAGTATATACAGTGCTCCATCAAATCAAGAGGGCTCCTGTTAACGGCCGGCTGGCATTCTCCGCTCCTTCTTGAGCAAGCGGCTTCTGCGCTTGCACCGCTTGGGCCTGCACCTTGTGAAACTGTCGCATTGCAGCTTTGCTCGCACCAAGCGAGTGCTGCTGCCGGCGCATCTTCCCCGGGCTCGGTCCAGAAGAGTATGCTCTGCTGGCGTGCAGGGAAAGACTATGCAGACTCTTGGTGTTAAATTTGCAGCATTGTGCTTCTGTCTACCTGATGCCTTTCCATTGGTTCACTGTCTCTTGGAGTCGTTGCTCGGTCCAGCGAACAGCGCAATTCAGCCAGTCATTCCGTGCTGACATGAACACGTCTGCTCGAGTGCAGCCCGTTGCGAAGAGCACCGTGGCAGGCTCGCAGCCTGCATCACAACCTGAGAGCCTGCAAGCGCCATTGGTGGCTGCAGCCAAGAGCGTGAAGGGCACCCAGAGCCCTCGGCAGACCTCGGCACTGCCGATGGCCACTCGTGTCTCTGGCATCGTCAAGTGACGGGGTAGTGGCCCAAAAGTGGGCGCAGGCGGTACCCTGCTGGACACTGGAAACCCTTCAACTTCTGGCCTGCGCTCTCGCAGGTGTCGGTAACGTCCTTGCCTTGCCTCAAGGCCCACACGTGGCCAATCAAAACAGGCAAGTTGAAAGAAGGAACTTCAGGACGTGGAGCCGCCCTGGTCACCTAAGTGATCGCACCAAGTGCAAACAGCGTGTGGCGGGCAAAGCATCAGGTGGCCGTGCCTTGCAAGCGTTGCATCTTCGAGAGCCCCAAGCTGCGCTGTTGACAGATCCGGGTCGCGAGGCTTACGACAACAAGGAGCTGTTGTCGACGAGTCAGGTCAGGTTGCCTTGTCAGTGCTGAGGGTCCAGGAGTCTCCGCCATTGCCGTCCCGACGAGTCCCTTTTTGGGGGGTCTGGGGACTGAGACCCTGCCACAAGCGACTGTGCAAACTGTCGTACCCTTCATTGAAGGCGCCGCAAGGCAAGGCGGCTGCCGCGGTAGCTTCGGCCAAGGCAGCTGCCCCCAGATGGACACAGGCGGTCTCAGCCCAGCGGGCACAGACAACCTCGGCATGATCCGTTGCAGCTAACCACAGTGAATTACACTACATCCTTCGGAACTCGAGCAGCATTTCCCGCCGTCGCTTGGCAGCTTGCAATACGGGACTCAGATCAAAGCAGCATGTCGGCAGTCGGCGGCAGTCGGCAGGCGCAATGGTTGTCGGCGTCGTGCCGGCCCCATTTGAGACGACGTTCTCGGCTGCTTTGCCTCTTGGTGTGCGCCATGATTGAAGCTGAGCCTTTGTCATTCTTGAAGTGACTCCTTCGGCTGCTTGTGCTTGTACGCCTAGACCTAGAGCTTTCTGCTCCGTTTCGAGCTTCATGGCCGGTCAGGAAGGCATCTGAAGCTAAGCAAGTTGCATGACAATCAACTGGTATAGATAGCTGCCAACTGTTTGTCGGAGGCGACCATGCCCGGCATGTCTTGTGTCTTTTGTCAATGACATTCTTCTGAGGATGGAAATCCCCTTCCTTCCGCTTCCGGCTCATTGCTATGCTGGTCTCCACCCTGGCCGAAGAAGCCTTTCGCACCCCGGCACCTTCGCACAGAGCAGGAGCGATTCCCTTGCAAGGAGCCTTTCCCCGCCTCGGCCGTCTGAAAAGCGCGGCTGTCCTGACACGGCGCTTGTCGCTCCAACATCGCCGCACCCTCCCAGACCCTGGTCTCGTGACGAGAGCGGCCTGCGGCATGCCGTCTGCCCGTCTGAGGTGTCAGTTGCATCGCCGCTAATCTCCACCGCCCACGCATGCTGAGGCCTAGTTCGAGTCGATCGCAGTCGTTTCATCATGCAGGATATCTACCATTTTGGCCGAGGCTTGTGGACCTCCTTCTACACGAAGCAAGTCCAACAACTTAAACATGGACGGCGAGATACTGGAAACAGT